GGAAATTCTCCGCATCGTTTTCCAAAAGCAAAATTGGGTCTACCGAGAAGACTGGCAAATCTCTTAAACGAGCATCAAACGAAGAACCAGAGCGAGTCTCGTCCACCGTCGAGTTGAACGATGACCTTGTTTTCGGGCCCCCGAGCTACGGTAGGTGCGGGAATTACCGGATGCACTGCCTGGCAAACATTGGCGCTCCACTCAACGATGGCGTCCGTCGCTCGCAACACCTGCTCCAGTGTTTCGGACCTCGCAGCTAGCAGGAATGATTGGAAAAGTCCCACGACGGGTAACCCCCTCGATATATCACACGCTTTGGAAGACGGGGAGGTGAGACGACAACGAGTCGATTGCGCGAAACTAGCACGGGGAGCTCGACGAGAACGCTAGTACTAGCACAGGGCTTAGCTGGCTCCCGATTCTCCATCCGGTTTTCCTGACTGCCTAATCATTCCCTGCGACTAGTATCGATAAGCTGCTGACACAACGGAGGCCGGAATCAGAAACGAGCACTCGTTGAGGCATAAACCTGGGTGGGATGGCTCCGATTGACTTGACATAATATCTCTCCGAGTCTGATTTCTCTAATGGCGGAAGATGAGCATCGAAGACGGCAAGACCTCGTTAATTCTGGACACCAGAGCGAGTCTCAGGAAAGCTCGGGCCTTGAATCGAGCCTGAATCGAATGCGGTAGGCTGCTCTCGCGAGGGTTAAGCATAAACTAAAGAAGCGTCTGCCTTTCTCGATCCCGGTGCAGCATCGACTCCAAAGGCTGAGGATTACTATCCAACTCGGCTGCTTGAGACGCAGTCATCAAAATGTGCAGGCATACTCTCTCCGATTCGGAGATTCACTCACGGCGGAATGACTTCGTGGAAGCATCGTATCAAGAGAAACAACTTTGTGACCCGATGAGTCAATCCTCCGTCGACGGCGATGGAAAAACCTTTGGACGATTCACCTCAACTGCACATTCTGCTTCGTCGCAGATTCCGAATGCGGATTCTCATGGAGCCTCTGGGTGACAGAGTCCTCATTCAAGAACAGGCGACGGCAAAATGGGGCGACAAGCCCCATTTTGGGATAGAAAACCAATCACCCGACTTTTGTCCTGGCTCGTCTTTGTTATCTTTCGGGATGCTCCTCCGATGCAGGAGGACTCCTCGATAATTCCCCCCACCCCTGAGCCGATAAGAGCGCTGGTGTCCAGACACGATCGAGACTCTTTCGTCTATCGCGAGGCTAACAAGTCAGTGGTAGCGGTTTTCACGGCCAAAAGACCTCATTGAAACGCATATAGATGCGGCAGAATTGACAAATGGGCCGCGCTGTGGGGAAAGAGAAACGACGCGGAATTCCAGTTGGACCGAGGGAACCGCGCCATCATTCATCCGGGAGACAGCTGCGAAGAAAGTCCGCAGAACGGACTACGATTCATCGTGCACGTGGGAGAGTCGATTCCGGGGAACAGAAGAAGCTATGCGGTGTGGCTTTATGCTGAGGGAAAGCTCCTGGGAAAATGCTCCCAGCGATTTTCGGAACGATATAGGACGGAGCATCCCCACTTCCGCACCAGACGATAGGGGGGCTCGGGCGACGGTTTCGCCCAGCCTGAGAGTCGAGGCCCTCCATAAGACTTTAGAAAGAGGGAGTCTCTGAGATATTTGGTGCTCAAACGGATCCACTCAGATCGCATATTCAGATAATGTCTTACACAAAGAGTTCCGGGAGGAGTCAGGAAATCCGACCGACAAACAGATCACATGTGAAGACTGTCTCAGCGTTAGCTCTGAATGCGGATTTCCGTCCAGACCGTCGAGCTCGCGTCTTCGCGCAAGCCCCGAGACCAAGGGGAGAAGCTGATGAATCGCTCTGGGTTCGGCGATGCACGATGAAGTGGTCATATATGTACAGTCTCGCTCGGGGTTTGTTCTGAGAAATCGAATCGGAAAGGTCGGAGGGATTCCCGACGACGGAAGCGAAGGATATCCTCAAAAGACCGAACGAAGGCTCCTGTGCTTCCCTGGAAAAGGAAGAAATCTCGAATTCGATGTTCAGAATCCTCGCTGTCGAAGGACTCGCTCGCATGACTCCGCAGTGCGCTTCCGAGCGGGTAGGCTTGATCCCAGCGCTCCGCGTAAGTCGCTGTTGATTGGAATCGTTCTTAATAGGTATACGACGAACATGTGTAGGTCGCGCATTGCCTGCGGGGAACATGCAGATTTCCTCAATACGATCTTCAATATTGGATCGAGGCTATCCGAGAAGATCGGTCCCTGTCCTGTCACTCGGAATTCACATTATGCAAATGAAACTCCTTATCCGCCAAAAAATCTAACCAATCTGGGGGAAAAGGTACACAAAGAGACGGATGACAGAGCTCAGGCGTTCCCACGTTTCCTTTCATCGATGAGTAGCATTGAAGACACGGGATATTGTTCAATCAAACAACTTTGAATTAATTTTACCTCTTCCTGTTCATAATTGAAGTTCTAGCTTAGTCGCGATCAATTAGTTTTCAAAACAACGTCATCCCCTTATATGTTCGCTGCGAACTTCGAGCTAGCAGTCGAACAAGGTCTAGCATTCATTAAACTCTCTGAGTCAAACAACCTGAGTCGATTGAGGAATGTTCTCCGGACGACTACAGTCCGGCTTTTCCCGACAATTACATACACGCTTTGGTACACGCACATTCGAACAACGATACTCCACTCACATGTCAATATTCAGTTGTAGGACTCTATGTAATCATGTAGAGTGAGTAATGCGAGTTATCTCGATGTGAATTCCGCTCCCGCGAAACCTCGACCGAAGGTTCGAATTAGCACCATTCGAGTGCGACAACCTCATCGAGAAATGCTTTAGTTTTTAACAATATAATGAGGTCGGGACACGATGGCTCAACTCGTTACGTGTCCCGACAACTGCCTGGTGGACAGATTCGAGCCAGTGCATGCCGTACGACCTCGGGCGGCATGTGGGCATCAGCTTCTTCCTCTCGTGGCATTTACTGCCTGTTCTCTGATGTGTACAAGGAGATTATGAAGATTTCTAGTGCTCGCTTAGTGGTGGGTTGGATTCTTGACAGTTGTGTTCGCTGGTCAAGACGCATAAGACTTCTCTACGGGAATCGGTTCCTTCCGGTTGGTGGACTTGTTGTGGGATTCCCGTTTCTATGGTGGGTGGATGGTGCAATTGAAAGATAGAGTGACCGACAGGTAGTTGTAACACTTAAACTGGTTTGTTGGATCGAATTGGGTTCGACTTCGTGGCTCGCGCAAACTAACTCCTCGAAAAAGATGGCTCGCCGTCGGAGCTGCTGGGAAACCGATCACAATGAACTGAGGATGATCTGCTGCAGGTGGGCAGGCAGGCTGAGTGCGTAGTTGTAGTCGTCATCAGTGGTGTGATAGCGGTAGCGGTGGTGGTTGTGGTACTGGTACTGGTGGTGATCGTAGTTGAGGTTGTTGTATTTGTAATGTCGAGGGGGAGAGCAACCGAACACTGGTCCAAACCCTGCAGCTGCGACGCGGCGATCCTCAAATGAGATAGACATATAGATGTCGGGCGTGTAAGTCTCCCGGTTCAACTGGGTTTAAACTGGATACAACATCATTCAAAGCAACGTTTCCAGCAAGTTGTATTTCTTAGTTCGGGCTCGTATTGCAACTCAATCCAACTTCGGCAACTTGGGTTGGAATGCTTTGCGGAATGGGCGGAGTGTGGACGGGGTGACGGCGAAAACGGGGGCGATGAGCTTGCATCAAATCAAGGGTGCTACCTTTACACAGTGCTGCGGGAGTGAGGGAAAGGGCCGACTAATCAACTGGCGCGAGAGGTATTCACTCGACGGGGGAGTTCCGTGCACCCGTATGCAATCTACAACTCCGTTCGTTTCTGCTACTGATGGCTTCGCCTAGCTATTTAGTACGGCATCCGTAACCGACACTCCTCTCGACTTTTCTGCGGAACGACTTCTGGGACTTTTCCGCGGCTTGCGACAGAAAATCTCTAGCGCACCTGATTATATTTTTCCTTTTTGATTCTACACTGCCAACTCGTCACGATGTCGGATACGGTGCCTACGCACGTATCACCAGATAAACGACCGAGGCTGCTGGTCTAGGCATGCTGTGGTCTACTCCTGTCGCCTCTTTCAACAAGGCATTCACTCCTATCGTACGCTCGGCATTCACGCATTTTCAACGTTTGTTGAACAGCACAGGCAGTGTACTAACGGTGCTTGGAACAAAATCGTTTCCTTTTCTCATTACAGCGGAATTCATAAATCACCTCAAGGGAAGTCAGACAGCGAATCGGCGGCGGATCGCGGCACCACTAAAGGTTATGCTCCTCCTATGTACAATATACGAGCAAGGTGTACGTATACTGCGGCCAGTGGATGTTAAAAACTGAAAACTCGATGAGGCAAGCGTTCCGAATCACAAACCGAGCCTGGGGACTACTTCGGAACTTGCCTTGAGCAAGAGAATAGCAGAGAGCCAGGGCAAAGGAAGTGAGAGAAGAGAGCAAGAGGAGAAGCATCGTTGGCCAGGGTTTCCGTTTTTGCATGCAGACGGTGAACCCTTTCCTGGGGAAATCTCTACCGCTCGGGCATATTTCGAAAGCAATAGCTCGCGCTACGGCGCGGGGAGGAGAACTGAATGGTACCGCTACGCAGCAGACGCTAGAAAATGTAGTAATGAGTGAATTTTATCTTAGTTTCTTGCTTGCTGTTGAGCTGTCGTGCCCCGAGGCTTCTGTGTATGTTACCGTGAGTTTGAAGCTTCACCGGAGATTATTCTGCTTGTCTGTTGCCTAATAAGCATTCCCAGCGGAAAATTCACCGAGAAAGCTAAAACTCCAGAAACCTTGGACCGTTTCCACTAATCTGCGAAGCTTTGAGTTACGAATTGACTTTGTCGATCCCTAGTCCCGAGTTGAGCGATGGGACTCTGTGAGACATCGTACCGGCGACGGCAAGTGAGGTAAGCATTCATAATACGGTCTCTTTTTCCATGATGTGCGCCTTCGCCTTTTGATAATGCGAGTGGGCTTGGCTCCCCGTCGGCTCGTTGCAATGAACCTGCAATGATTCTCGAGTTATTGAACCGCGTCTTGCTTGGCTTCTCTCGCCTAGAGCTGCGTATCATCACTGTTCGGCTCGACGCCGCAGGTGATAAACCTCTGATCTCAAATTAAGCTATCGGAACCGGATGGATGAGTCCGCGCACACAGCCCTGGAGGTAGAAACTCCGCGTAGGCTCTCAAGAGGTTTGGGGAACGAAGAAATATCTCCCCAGACTTGTCACCTCCGTTATCAGCCGCGAGAGAATCACACGCTGAACTCATCAAGTCCAAGAACATCAGGGACGCGAAGTAAGGACAAAATATGACTTCCACGCTTCGTTGCTCTCACCTGAGGACGAGTGAGGTCCCGATGTCGCAAGAGATCCTCGTGACTCCCTGTCAGTCTTGCCAAGCTGAAATGAATGCGGGCTCTCATACACTCGTCGGCATTGGTATGTCGGACAGACAACGGCCTCGAAGTCCTATTGGAAACGCAATACATAGAGAGGGAGCAGCATCACTCGGAGTCGACGGATAGGGTCCGCTCTTGTCAGCTCTCCATTTGCCCCGATAGTATTCGAGTGGCAAGGCAACGAACCGAAAAAACAGCGGAGTTCTGCTCCCAGTTAGTCGGCGTCCGTTAGAGACTGATGGCGATGGATGCAAATGGCTCGAGCGGCGGGCGTATAGGCGTTTGGGTTCGCCAACCATTCTTTCTGATGTTACTTGTCTTCCCAAAGGATACAAAGACGGATTGGCATCAATATCGGTCCAGCCGGATGAGCTTGACCGACAGCTGTACTGGCGAGAGCATTTTAACTCTCGCAAGCTAATGAGAATTCTCATGGTTCGGACCCACTCGATGGATTCGCGGTATGCGTCTCGTTCACAATTCCTGCAGGACGCTGCATTTCCGTATCCGGGAAAGGACGAAACAAGGGAAATTACGCAAGAGAGGTTTAGCTTACCTCCTCGTTGGCGAGTCGAGACATGATGAGTTGCTGTGAATCGACGCTTGCCTCAGGCCGACCATGTTATCCGCCACGTTGGGATGACTGCCAGAGATCGACAGCGGCGTACTGCGGGGTGGAGCCGATGGCCTATATGGGAGCTCCGACTCCAAACTTCCGCAGGTCTTCCGGCCTCCTTCTAGTGTTCTAATCCTCTGGCGAGCCTGTTCCAATTCTCGCGCTAATCGAGACACATCAGCTTGCATGCGCTCGTGCTCTGAAAAAAAACGGCCGGCGAATTAGCCGTCGTCTCTGCAAGTCATCGTTCACTCGCGCACTTGGCAGGTCTGCGACCACCGGTTGAGCTCTGTGAGTCGCAATAACGCGGTAATGACAACAATAATAATCTGCATTGGTCAGACCCCAGGCAGTCGACAGGAGCGACAGGACAAGCATTCGCCTTTGTCGCTGAAGGCCCGACTGGGATCGATGCTGGTTAGTGGAGTACGGGTGAAAACAGACAACTCAACAATCGCCAGGGGCTCCCGGTACAACAATCCGAGCCTCCAATAGCACCCGTCAGTCCGTCGAACAACGACGACAACGACGACGAATGCAAGGAGCTCACCCGGGTAAACGGAACACGACGCGCGCTATAAAAAGAGATCCCGAATAATTGATCGAGCCGAGTGACCTGGTCGCAATGGTTCGCGCCTGATTCACAATTAATGAACTAGCAGACAGACAAGGCAACGAATCTTCTCTGTCCGCCACGTTCGCCGACCGACCGAGAGCCGTTGTCACAAGCATCCGCCACTGCCGAGGGAACAGGCACTGCTTCCGCAAGTAGCACTGCATGCTGTACGATGATGAGTGATGAGTATTCAAGTAGTTTCCTCGCACAACGCCGACAGTCCCGAAAACGCGAAAACGTCGTTCGGTAGTAGTGAGGCTTGAGTAGACGTCCATGCGACGAAAAGGAGGAGCCGGGACTCCGCACGTCCACGAGTATCGCGGATCGCCGAATGCGCGACGAGTCGAGCAGCTCCTCTCAATCTAAGAAACAAGTAAGGAGGCGAGCGGCGCAGCGCTGTGAGTCTCCTGTCGCTCTGCAATGGTCAAAATGCGCGGAAATTCTCATGCGTCAGGACGACGGCGGCGCCTTATTCGACTAGCTCGTATCGACATCTCGCATAAACGATGCCTACGTTCCTCGCCGTGCCCGGGAAAAAGTGCACAACGCGCCCCCCAGATGGATAGAGGATCGAGGTTGACTTTCCTTCCGGTGAGATGCGCACAACTTCCACTCGTCGCGTATCGTCAGTCTTTTGAAATGCGATTTCATAATTTCCTGAATCGATTGAGGCCGCTCAGTCGACTCAAGAAGCTCGGAAACACCGCCGGAGCGACCCGCATTTCCTCCGCGCGTTTGGAACGGAAACAACTTCAAGCGTAATCAGTCGATGCCTTCACGACAATTCTCAAAAGATCCTCAATCCGGCACGATACGGGCGTCCAACGATGCTTCTGCGAACTTAGCGCCATTCACTGTTCTCTGCACTCACCTGCGGCCTGCAGAAAGCGGCTCTCCGTCTGTCGGCGGAGAAGCATTCCTTGAGCGCTGTACACAGCATCCCGGAAACTGAGAGACTTGCCCATACTCTGCAAGGAAAAAATTCCGTGAATAATGCGTCGCCACTCCCTTCCACACAGCCGTCAGCGGGATTCTACCGAAGATCCTCGCAAGCGGTCAGCGACGCCTCGCCATCTAGAATGGAGCTTCTTTCTGTTTCGCTGACACTGCATTTTTGATATTTCGGGGGGAAAATCAATGGGTGCTGCCCTAGCTATTCTCGAAAAGGCAAACTCGTAGGCCAGAAACAGGAGATGTCCGAATATTCTCCCGGAGACGGAGGTTGGTTTTCCCCTGGGGAATTTGGCTGGAACGCGCACGCAAGGACTTTTCCTTGACATCGGCCGCAATTATCGGTGGAGACAACAGAGTAGCCTCCCTCAGAACGATGCTCCCTCCGTCTCGATTCCATCGTCCTTGCGTCCTTCCTGGATTTGGTTCTTCCGCCTGTGAGAGCTACCCGTGGACCGACGACCCAGCATCTCTTGCGAGGAATAGCTCCTTCCAGCAGTCGAATTTCGTCTGCCTTCCTCTCCATTGAGGCTTGCTGCCTCGCAGAACAAAGCAGAGAAGCTTCCCCCATTTTGAGAGATCCCATTTAATGCCTCGAACATGTTCCCCTACATCTGGTGGAGCAAGGCACTGGATCATTTTTTTCTGAGGGCCACGATCTGGGAGCGGAAAAAAAATCTCGGAAGAACATTCTCCGCCACGACGCGACGCTCTCGCAGAGCCACCATCTCAAAGTAAGGCCTGCTCGCAAGGCCTGCTCCCCGCAATCTCGTGGTTTCATCCGAGATGGGAGCAGCCAACTCTGCCACCTGCGGAGCGTACCACCGATAGGGCAATACTCGACACCACTTCCTTCCTCGACTTGGCTTGCCTGTGGACGGATCCAATCGACGCGGTCGTCGTATATCTACGCGCATATTGAGATCATCCCCACTCACCAGACTTATGAGGGCGAAGCAGCTCCCCGAGGTTGCTTTCGCCAGTTGTTTTCTGAAGTATTTGAAATAGACGTGTTCGAGGATCAGAAGTATAACGGTGAGCAAAACTCCACATGCCAGTAAGAGGAACGCGCTCATAAATTGGTTGATGTCCAGAGGATTTCCCGCGTTCCTGAAGAATTACGGGAAATGAGCCATTTCGTAACCAAGTTTTCCTTTTTTCTGTTCTTAAGCCCGTAGAACCTAAGAACTGGAAAGCATCGAGTGCGGGAGAATCGGAGAGTTCGACTCTTTCTCACCGTTTCCTCTTGTCGGGTTTGCATGCGCCTTGTAACCAGAAACGCTGTAAACGTTCTAAGTCTCCATGCTCTCGGTACTCTATCATTTGACGATTGAACATCTGGAAAGTCGATCAACAAACTCTCTAATTGTCCCTATGGATTAGGATTTATTTGCTGACAGGTTGGGGACCGAGCCCACAAATCATCGAATGTGTACCTGGAGGTATTTGGATTTCTTCGGCAGAGCGAATCCGTATCCCGTCATGGCGTACCAAGATCCCACTGTCAGCAGTCGGCACTCGTCATCCTGACCGACGAAATAGTCCAATACGGTGGCGTCATAAATGAAGGCATCCAAAGTTCTGAAAAAGCTCAATGTTTACGGACGATCTCGGAGAATACATCGTTCTATCCGCTGAAACTGAATTTTCGGCGATATTCCCCATCGGGCACAGGACGATCACGTCGACGTCTCTTTCCAGCTCGTTCGGCTGAGACTCTTCCGCAGATGAGCGGAGCTCGATGTTGATTAGAGTCGCCCGGCAACGTTCAGCCAATCTCATATATATGGAAAGGAATGCGATAAAGCGGCCGGCTCGACCTTCACCGAACACTTTAGGCGTGAGTCCGGCGGCCCTTCGCGGGAGCCTCGACCAGCGATGCGACAGGGCAATGCAAACGGATTCGCTAGCCCTGCACCAGATGCGAGCAGTTGAAATTGAGTCGCACAGGGGTTGAGGAGAGATGAAGAATCGTCGCCGAGGAGTCGGAAAAGTCTGAGGAGTCCGCCACAGGGGTCAGGGAGACGTTGTCGAGGCCTGCCTACATGCCGCGACTTCTCGCGTAGCGGAATTCTTGTGAGATGGTTTTCAAATAGAGGTGATAGCCCCAGAAAGTTGACATTTCACCGTGTCACACTCCCGTCCGCGCCCAAGGCGCGCCTCTGGATCGAGGTCTCATTGCGGAGATTTACGAGCGGAAATACAACAACTTGCGGATTCCACGAGGAAGCGTTCCCCGCTTATTCCCAATGGGTGGGGAATGATTCCTGACCTCTGCCAGCAGGGGCCCCATTCATCATTGTTATAAATTTGTCCATGTACTTGACGCAGCCTCATTCAAGGCGCAAGATCCGCCTCTAACCTTACGCGCGAAAGTCATTAGGTAGTAAATAATTAGAACGGAAATTGACATCGAGACCCACGCAGAGGACACTTACCCTTTCTTCACGGCTTTGATTCCTTCCTGAACGTTGGATCTGTTGTAGGGTCGCATGTATTCGTACATGGTTGGCTTATTCCGTTGGAGGACTTGTTCGGTATTCCCGTAGGGAATCGTTCCGAATCGAAAGGGAGGCTCCATCTGAGTGGGATTCCGGAGCTGGAAGTAATCAAGAACGGTGTCAGATGGGGGACGAAAACCCAGAACTCTCCCTTTCGCCATGACATTCCCCTTGACCGAAAGATCTCGACCGGAACAAAGACGCCTGTCATGTGTGAAGCAGTGTTGGAGAAGAAGTCACCGTCATGCCATAGCGGAGTTCCGTGCTCGTGGAGGCTGAGAGTTCCGCATGAGCGTTGGGGAACTTGCGGATCGGATCCTTCCCATTCTTTATGGACATAAACTTGAATCGAGCTCTTCATCGGTTCCACACTCACTCCCGCGCCGAATAGCGTTAGTGATATTCCGAGACACACTGAAACTTCTCTCGAGCTTGCACGAAATCTTCCGGAATCCAGGGGGGAGGAGAGCACCTCACGCAATAAGATCCCAAATGAGATATGCGCTACGAGATGGGCGCGGCAATCGACACGAGAGGACTAGGCAGTCGATCATGGTCTTCTGGCCGTGAAGGCAGCGGAAAATCCCGATCGAATGTCTGAAAACGTTTTTACTCGCAGCTCGACGCATGCATGAGCGTCGCAAGTTTCTTCGGTATCGTTCGGAAGCCACCGACGTCGCTCCTGCTCGTGTTACTCCGGCCTGGCTTGAAGACCTCCACTGGCTTTGGGCGCGGAGTATAGGTGGCATATTCCGATTTGGCACGGCTGAAAAAGTCTTTTCCCCTCTTCTCCTGGTCAGGATGAGACCCGCGAGGCTCCAGACGGGCGTGCCTTTTTCGGTTCCCGCGGGATTCTCAGATCTGTAGAGACTACGTATAAGGAATTTCGGGGACGAGATACTGGCCAGCGACGTCTCGCATCAGACAGCGCCGATGTGGAATTCGTGATCCGCCTGTGACGCGTCTGACAGCCCGGTGAGACCTTGACTCAGCGCCACAGGTCAACTAGCCGGGTCATATGTCGTGATCATTCCGTATTCGTCCGGGAGAATCTCTCGTTCATGAAAATGTGTCAATTGTGCGGCATCACACGTGAGCAGCCGCCTCGGAGCACCAAGCGGTGAAACATCAGACGATCAACAGACTTGTATGGACCGCGGCCTCGACTGCCGCCCTTAGCGACAACGAGTACACAAGGCAGAGAAATAAGGATTTATTGGCTCATCCATCAACGTGCTCATTCCTTCGGTCGTCTGCCCGCCGGTTCGCTCGTCCGGCGTAATGGGCGCGCAAAGACATCTCTCACAGGCATTTCACCTCGCGGGCTTCTGCGCAACGGGTCGCCCTGGTCCAAGTTATCGCGAGCGCCTGGTAAACTCATCTCACCTCTAATTCATTCGCGCTCGTCAGCCGTTTCGTTACTTACCCAGACCGCCTGGAAACAAGCAGAGCCATGCAGGTGTCACCGGCAGCAGATGCGATCCGGGACAAAAGCCCTTCTGCGAAACATGCTCGAGACGTGGCCACCGCCGATAACCGGCGCCGCTATCCCCGCAGATCCTGCTGAAGAGGACTGGGGAGAAGGGGCGGATGCAGCCACTGAAACGGCGCTGAAGATTTCTGCGCGAGGAGAAAGCTGCGTTTTAGCCGGACCTCATCACTCAGACGCACGGTCCGTCGGCGCTTCTTTTCTCGAGGGTAGCCTTTGAGAATTCTTTGCTCGCCGGCCACAATAAGCCTGACTGGCGAGAAGGATCGCGGCTCTCATAAATAACCCGAGAACGCCACAGGCCGGGCTCGGGTTGCGTGTCGCTAACGGAATTCTCCTTGCGCGTTGCTTTGCTAGATTTGTTCGCGGTGGCAACAGCAGCATCCGACGACGGAGGTTTCCAGCGAGGAGGCCACCGGCATGAGCCGGCGCCGTAAGCTTCGCCTCAAGTGACGTATTTTCTGAGCGGCCAGCTTTCCCGCGGAATGGGAGCGTAAGCCTCATATCAGGCGACGGAAAACATCGAAAATAGTCCGCAGCCGCGCACTTCCTCCTTTTGCATATCATCACGCATCGGATGCGCGTAGGTATTCATTACGCGGTCGGGGAAACCAACGGGGAATTCCTCGCCGCGCTGCTGTACGAACTCTCTCGGCCAGTATGTACCGATGTGGCTATCTCGGCGACAATCGCTCCGAATGCATGTTGCGCTCCTTTGCGTATTCTTGTCCCGGGGCCGGTATCGATGCCATCGTGATGACGTAACCGAATGACTGAGCTCTGCGTATTCCGTATGAGCGGAAGGATACTCTTGTGCTTGCGCATTCGATCGAACCGAACGATCTCCGTCGCTCAGCCTCGCGAGGGACTGACAGGGACAGCAGCCGGTGGAAGGGAAGGACGTGCGAGCGGAAGGCCAAACAAACGGGAATGACTAGATGGCGGCACGGGCAAGAGGATTCGGTGAGTGAATCTACGAGCCTGGCAGCGAGCGAGTTTTAGGCCGAGGGCGCTACCATTATCGGTCGGGTAGATTAGTGGCTCCTTTGCGCGCCATTTACTGCACGCCTAGGAGATCATCAAGCCGCAGATCCTTTGGCACCCTCTCTGGGCGGCGGGGTTCATTCTCCTCGCGGAGTTCAAGGCTAAGAATAGCGAAACTTCAGAGATTTCTCGGGCTCGAAACTCAACAACTCGACGACACCTATCACTCGACTGGACAGTTCAGAACCTACGGGTTCTACCTCGACGACAGACTCCTAGGCTTCGGCCGGTTGTTGGAGCTGTCGCTGTTCATTTTCCGCATGGCGAAGCTCCGATCCTGACTTGCTATTAGGATCTCGACGTGATTCGCCACAGGTGCTGGGAAGACGAGGAGCGTGGGAATGGAACATGTGTTTTTCTCCGGCGACGAAACTTACCCGCCTATCCTCGATGCCTGTCAGGTCGTAATATTCCTCCCGGGTGATCATGAAGGCAGCCAAATTGGCAGTGTATATAGCGAGGAAGACCACGGCGAACATAGCCCAAACATTGCTCATGAATCGCGCTGTGTAGCCTTTCGGACAATCGACGTTTACGGCTGCCCCGAAGAGCACCGCCCATACGAGCCAGTACGTCCGGAAGAGACTGAACTTGTGAGCTGCAAAGTAATCGATCTCTGGAACACCTGTCCGAATTCAACTTATCGACAGAGGACTAGAATACTCTTCGAAGAGCAGACACCGGCTCTCGCGTCACTCGGGAAAATGACGAACGTGTAGACTTTTCGAAACCGTACGTCTGCTGTATTCTTGTCAGCGGCTCCGCAGGGAGCTCGATTCTTATTCTTTCTTTCCGGACTTCCCGATTGGCTACGACTCTATTTCCTGCACCTCTCCCGGGGGCATGGGAGAATTTTTCTAATCAGCGGTTTCGATTTCTCCCCGAATCCTTTCTCTGTGCACACAGGTCGAGGGATATTTGTACGCATGCGTTGACTATAGACGACACTCACCTCGTGGCGGTATCATTTTCATATCGTACCCGTCCGGTGAGAGAAACTCGAAGAGGAATATTGAGAATGCAGCCACTTGAATTCCCACCAACAGGATAAGGAGCCATGAGATCGTATCGAATGGCTCTGGAAAAAAAGGGATGACTTCTTTATAGATCCCTTTCCGGGAGGCTCCGGATCGTGGAAAGCCAGAGAAAGTTTACGTTGACCAGATCGCCTCGATAAGTGACGTTACCGAGTCCACAAAAGCCCTCCGCTCGGTATTGACTTCCTATAGGGTTACTATCACAACGATCCGCGAATAGCTGCTCGGAATCGGGGGATAAGCGTGATACACGGACTAGCTGATCGGACAGCAGGAGAGTATAATATGGGAAAGAGGAGTCCTAACCGAGAAAGGCCTTAGGAGAGATAATGCCGGTGCGCTTAGCGACCACAATAGCGATCCCAGTCTCGAGAAAAGGCACCGTGAAATCGACGGCTTCCTGACGGTCCGAATTGATCTTGATCGATGTTACGACGATGTCAGTTCGCCGATTGAGCAGTTCCGCGATGAGCCCGTTCCAAGTCCCGTTCTGAAAACAACAGACGTTCATGAGTACGTAGGCGAGCTCAACTCGCGGTCTTGATTCCGGAGATATCATTACAGACTCGCGAGGGGGCACTTCGCTCTCGTGGCAGGCTCGAGTGCGCGGCTTGGGTGAATGGCTGAAATCTCCATGGTCGGAGGAAATGCTTCTGGTCGGTCGGGTGACAGCGTAAGCTCTCACCGACCGACCGAAAGCGAGTTACTCGAGGGAGACTGAAATAGTCCCCATATTGAATTGAGCCACGAAGTCAGCCCGCGTACGTGGCTCACAATGGATTCCCAGCTGATCCCGAAACGGCGCTGCGAAACGACGGAGAGCCGCAGTTTGATCGAAAAATCGAAACATTCGATCGCTCTTTCATCCTCTCCGACCGATCCACCGAATCCCCCCGCCCCTTCCCCCCTCACCGTGACGGGCATGCGATAACTTCTCTTTCGCAGTTTTCCCGTCGCGCTCGCGTACGCTCGTTCTTCCAGAGCTCCCTTCATCGGAACTCCCTCTCTCCGGCGGATCTGGATTGCCGCAAGGAGCTGCTCCTCTGCTCATTCGGAAGCGTCGCAGTCAGCGCGGTCACGACTGGGAGCTTGAGTGACGACTGGGAGCCATTAGCCGTTTTGTTTCCCTTGCCGTCTCTTCCCGAATACGTCCGTTGCTCGCTGCGCTCGCTTTCTCAAAGCCCCAGAGAAAGGATTAGAACGCTCGCTCTGCGAAGATTAACGGCGAGCCTTGCGTCCGCTCGCTACTTTGTTCTTGTCGTCGAGAAACCGCTTCGGCACGCTTGCGGACCCGCGCGGGGAAATGTCGCCAACAAATGACGCCTTAAGCCATTTCTCCCCGCTGCGACCGGGTCGGGAACACGCGCGACTTGTAAGCATGCTCAAGTCTCGCGTTACGGGTCCTGCATCAAAGGCCAGCGATGCCGCTGCGTTCCAGTGATCAAGAGGATTAGAGCTCTCAAGGGTTGAGTCGACTAGCTTAATCTCGGAGCTAATCAAGCGCATGAGCGGGGTAGAAAACCGCGCGTATCACTCAACGCTCTCGAAGGGGGGAGAGACCCTACGTCGAGGTTTCCCCACTGGACGCGACGTGCTTGACGATCTTCCGTGGGGTCGAGCGTAGTAATTCGTCGTGCTTCGAGAAGGGAGTCTCGTACTCACTTTGTCCTTGACTCCCCACATGCCGTCCTCAACTTTGGAGAGATCGTACGTGAATCCGATGTCTTGGGCAAACTTTTCCAGCAAGTCAATGCAGAATCCCATGCAGCACCGATAGAAGTTGGGATTGCGGCGGGCTATTGTGTCGTTGTGTCTGTGAATGGAGCCGGTTCGGCAAAAGAGTTATCATCATATTGTGACTCTGGTTTTGAAGGAACCCCATCGTGCGTCAGCCAGCCAGCCAGCCGACCCCTCAGTCAGTCAGTCTGAGTGGGCGCCGAGCTGACCAAGCAGGCATTCTTCAGGACCACTCCTCCTGCGTGCTCACTCCATGGCCCGCGTCCAGAGTCTTTCTTCTTCAGCAGGCCATGTTCATCTCGCCTTCGGCTGACCTTGGCATGTGTCTGACATTCCTGCGATATGTGGCAAGCGGCCAGTCGGTCGGCTTACTCGTCAAAATAAACACATGCATAAACATAGAACAAAAGCGAGCACACGCTGAAGTAGTAAACAAAGCCTGCCCCCTGCCCCTTTCCCGGAGCGGCATTGTGCGATTCCGCGCGAAGACCTTCGAGTATTCGCCACTTACCCGATAATATGCGATTCAGGTACGATGCGACACTTCACTGCTCTGCTAGACTCGCATTCACCGGTCTCAGAATTGGGTAGACCGACGATGATGAACGGTTTCTCCTCCATGAACGTCACCTTCAAATTGAATTTCTCAGGAACTCCTTTCGGTGGCTTCCGTTCCCCTCCGGGCCATATAATATCCTTGATGTCCACTCCATCTTCGCTCCATTCGCCAATCTACCGAAAAGAAGAGCGGATTAGTGCGCTGACTTTTTCTGGAGGACGGACTTCAGCGACGCGAAGACGTGGAACGAATCTGCCCGTCGTCGTACAGGACAGCCTCTTTCCGGCCGAGCCTTCGCTCGAGCATCCCTTCGATTGCGAGTCTCCAGATGGAAGTCGTTTGCGTATTGCGTCGATTTCAGCCGCCGATATGAGCTGCAATTCGAGTCATCTATCCAGAGCTCTGCGAAGAACTCGCCGGAAGCAGTCTGCATCGCCGCATGTCCGTAGGAATCTGCATGCGAGGCGGAGCAAGGCAGGGAGCCTCGGCCTCCCGTAGGGAAGGGGCGTAAACGCTGTAAGCCTTGCGGCCGGCTTACTGCGGCATGGTTGCAACTCGAGACGATGATGTCCTCGGGAGCAAAACTGCCGCAAACTTTTTATCTTCTCAACTCGTGTGTCTATCTCTTTTTGGAACATATCTATCTACCGAATAGAGTTTCGTCTCTGTTTCGAGCCATCCGGAGAAGACGCAACTCTGCAGCGGAAGCTCCTGCTTCGCATCGGTTATGTTCCTCGATGACGTACCTTTTCCCAGACGCTTCTAGAATCGAGATTGAGGATGTCGAGATCAACGCGCCTTCTGGTTCCGTCTGAGTTGAAAGCGACTGAGTTGAATTTTTTACTCCGCCACCGAGTTTCCTTGAGGTATCTGTGGAATGCCGAATGAGACTTGTGATTTTCCAACGCCATGCATCATACATCTCCAGAATAGGTGCTCTCCTCCACTTCGCGGCTTTTCGTATCTGACGCGACCATCTGTTCTTCGTGCGCCATCGCTAGAAATGAAGTATTCCTCTCTCGATTCGTATCCCTAAGCTGGCGTCTCGGGAACGCGGATGCTCTGGAAGCGTTTCCGAGCATTTTGATCTCAAACAGTAATTCCGTGCCAACAGACGGCATGCCATCGTCACGTTTCCCGAGACACCCCATGTGTAACATTAGGGATTTTTGCTCGAGCACCAGATCTCGAGAGCGCGCTAAATAAGTCTCGAAAAGGCCTGGAATGACCATGCTTTCTCAGAGAGCCAATGAGAGCGGGAGAAATCCCTCCCAGCCGCTGGGAGGCTCCTTTCTCTTCCTCTGCTTTTCTATCTAAAAAGCTTGAAGATATGGTTGTTTCAGGGTTTGTTGAGGCGTGACGCACAAGACGACGGGCCGTTCCTCTCTTTCTTTTTCCTGTGATCCAACACTGTGAGAATGGTCTTGCCCTCGGACGCCGAGTCAAACGAGGAAAAGGCAAACGTTGCGAAGAACGAGCAACAGTGGCGGCGGCCGCGAGAATAGCTGGTCCCATCGCTGCTCTATGGAGCATGCAACAGCCAGATTAAGCTCAGCCATTCAGCAACCCGGGGAGTCAGACACACCAAGCTTCATCCATGTCAAACCAGCTGGGACACTGCCCGCTGTTCCATCACGCGGTCGCTGCAAGTTTGTCTTGGCTTGCGTTCTCCGTGGATGCATCGTGTTTTTCCTTTCATTTCAAACTTGGGAGCGCGAGTGATAGATTGTCAGCTGTACGCTCTACAACGAATTATTCGAATGGAGCCGACAACGGCCAAGAAGCTTTGACCTACTGAAACCCCATGCATAATCCCCTGGCGGAGCGTAGCGGTGCCGAAGTGGACTCCGAGCGGAACGTTCCGCCGAAACTCTCCGATTCTGGAGTTCCTCCGTTCGAGGAGGCAATCAGCGCGACTGATAGAGAACGTACTTACTTGTAGACGTCTTCCCCTTTTCTCCAATAGCTATACTCCGTGGCATTACACGTGAGTCCAGTCGACAACTGGATACTGTGATTTGCGGTCCTGGTATGATTCACGAGCCGCTCTAGAGCCGAGGCAAAAATGTACATGGACTTTTCCATTTCGTCCAATAGAACTGGCAGCGTAAAATTGTAGTACATCCCTGAGGAAGGAAAGGGAAAGAGGGTCAGCCTGTCTCGAAGTGTTGGCGAACATCGACCAATCCGTGATTGGGTCCTTGAAAGCGTGAGCGTGGAAAGGCACAAGAGGTGGTCGCAGAGCGATTCGACCCGAATGGGAATCATAATGCAGGAATCGGGGAGACGTTCATGGGAAGCTTGGGAGTAGGACCCATTTTGGAATACGCGAGAATGTCGGCCGTTCGACTGACTGAGAGGCGAACGAGCCGCAAAAGAGCTCTGGAACAAGGTTAGCTCGGTAGGAATGAGCTAGTTTTGACTGGGTCCGAGGCTGGAGTAAAACGAGCTCCGTGCGGGAAATGGAGAACACCCCCGTGTATTCCATTAGAGAGTAGAATTTCCAGACGCCTCTTATTACCGATGGCGCTGCATACACTTTGACGCAGGCCCCGGACGGTCGGTTAGGAACGCGGAGCAACTGGGAATCGCAGAAAATCCTTCCCCACCATACGTTCGCAAAGGGGAATTCCTCTCGATACATACATCGCTGCTGGCTGATCAAGAAGGGGCGATCGACCGTCCTTCAAGAAACGGCTCCCTTTCGGTTATCCCACCATTCAACCATATCAAGAAACCAACAAAGGCCTACCGAGACGTGAACGGCCGGCAAGATAGGCACCACCGATAGAAAGCGACCTCGGCCGCCCGGCTGGCTGGGCGCTCGCAGGCTAGCGTAACACTCACCAATGAGACCCACGGGGAATTCAGCAGGGGCTCGCTCCGCCGTCCCGATGACCGCCTGCGTAACAATCCACGCGTAGTTCTTGCCTGGCGGAGAGGATGAGTAAGAACGAAAGCAAATAATTGGCAAAGTGAATGGATAGCAATATAGCTCATTGACGGATGTATCGAATGAAAGGAATTGCCGAAGATCCCCCGGAGATTGACCCACGCTGAATCTTCTGATCGACGCAATGAATTACCTCGATTCTAGATGCACGGCTCAGACTTATTTTATCAGTTCGCATTCGTTCTACTCAACGATCCGTGATCCGGGGATTTTTTTTTCGAGGACAAGTGAAACAACGAGCCTCGAGAACAACGGAGCGACCATGCTTGACCTTTGCGCAAACGAGATGCGTGCACGCAGAATCGAGATGTCTCCTCAAATGGTAACTCTAGTCATGATACCGGACAACGCGAACAAGTTCATGCCAAGGAAAGTACGGCCGAGCAATCGCCTTATGAGAGTTTGGCCGCTGGTTGCTTCTATCAAACGACCGTCGAATTCCCCCGATTTTCAAGACTGTGGTCGGAGAGCCCGAACAGAAAGAGATCCGACGGCCTGTATTCCTGGACCTGAACCTCCGTTACGACTTGTCGCCGCGGCTTGCTGAGAAAAACAATTCGCTCTCTTCGAGATAGGGTCGCGCGGCCGACGCCGAGCTCTCGTCGACAAGAAATCTCTTTCCCCCTGAGCGAGTCTCAAGTAGGCAGATTGGCGACAAGGAGAACAAAGGGATTGCTGCCCGCCCCTGACGACATCTAGAATCGTACAAATGCTCCACCTATCAGCTCCGAGCAAATGCCCTACCTGTGATCCCGTGCTTCGTAGCTGCCGCGAATATTTCACGAGCGTCTTCTGTCCCGCAGAACAGGATGATCACCCGCGCTTCACTTTCCGCTAATGGTTGTAAAAGGGTAAAGTATTTCTCGCGATCCCTGCCCCGCGGAAGGATGTGAGCGGCGATCAGGCTGTATCTGAAAGAACCGGGTAAAGAAAAACGAGAATTAGATACACAGTTTCTTCTTCTGGCCGCAAATGTCCAGAAGACGATCGAGCGGAAAGGCCTCGAAACCGCTGTGGTGATCCTCAGCTGTCAAGCTTGCAGCTGGAGCTTCCACGGGAGGACAAATCGCTGCTCCGAGGACCGTGAGCTCCCATGGTCTGGTTGCGAGCGAGCGAGCTCGGCTTATTATTACGGGGTCGACCTTAGATTCAGCGTAAAAAACGTCGTCGGAGGCTAACGAGGCCAATAGAAAAACGAGGAGACGAGTCTGCTCATATCGGCGACGATCAAGTCCGCGATGCGTGTCTACAAACTTAGCTGCGGGGCTTGCTCGCGTGTTCCTGATAGCCTCACAAGCCGTCTACGCCGCGTCCTCGCCAGCTACGACCCCGATATCGCCCTGTTCTGCAGCGCGAAGCTCTCCATTTTTTTGGCGCTTTCTGATCGGGAGTCGGCGCGCATTCAGCTCTGCCGAGACTTGATATGACCTTGCGTTCATCGGTGCACGAGCGAGTATCGGGCTCCACCGTCGCTCCGAAAATCCGGATGTCGGTGTTTCCGCTCCTCACTTCCTCTCGCCTCCCTCAAATTCCACCGCGACACCCGCAGTCTATACTTCGTCTCCGAAGCTCCCTCCGTCCGGCGTTGAGCGCCCCCGAGAGAATTTCCAGCTTCCCTCCCTTGTCGCTAGGAAGATCCCTCTCGGTCGGAATGCATTCTCAGCGTTTCTCGTTTCAGGTCCCAGGCTGTTCCAGGTACCTCTCCGCAAAGCCTTTGGCCGTGCTCTCCCTCCGCGACACTTTCTACCCGAGACGTCAACGTGACTCCATTGGGGGAAAACAAAATCGCTGGATCACGTTCTTCGTTGGCAAATATACTACACAAACAAGACCAGGTTGTCGACACTTGGGATATCAGAACCGCGAACGGAAGAGTGAACTTTGGGTGTGGAGAATCGTTTGAAATGGGTGAGGAACAGATCCATCCAGCGGACGAGACTTCCTGAGCGGATCTAGGGCCGAAGAGAATCCGACGACCTTGGTTGGGGAAGCAGTTGATACGTCGGGCGTTACCGAATTCCCGTCGGATGACAGGTGAGAAGTGAGATGTCAATCCCTCGCTTTTCTTCACTCACTTGTGCTGTCTGTGGAAAACCTTCTCTCGCATCGCACGGATGAAATTTTCATGGCCGCCCAGCTGCGTCGAGATGATCGAGAATTGCGTCCACTGGTACCGATCCAGAAAGTCAAATATCGAGTTCACTTGGTGATCCACAGACGGTGACAAGCCCAATATGTGAGCGTCGGTAACCCTCTGTTGAACAAAGTGACTTCCTATTAGATTCACTCCCTCTCGGGATCCTGTTCCGGGTGACCTTGCTCTACTCACACGTGCATTTTATCGCTCCTAAACAAAGCGAAATGGTTCGTATACACTGATGTGGGGACTTCTCAGAGATGGAATCGGAGAAATGACTCCGATATTGGAATTCACTATTCCGGTGCGAGGCACCGGAGAAGAAATCAGAAGCATTGACAGCTTAAGGGAGACCATGCTTCCAAGAGTTCGAAGCAGGGCCCGCTCCCGAATTTTTCTGATACAAATAAACAAATACAACTGCAGTGGGTTGATCAAGCCCGCTTGCTGCGCAGGGTTGGATCCCATCAGTTCAAGGAGGAAGTCCTCCTTCTATCGACCGAACCGTGAGACCGATGAGATGTTTCGGGCTCCCACAGAATTGCTCGCGATCGTATTGTATTTCAAACGCCGTCAGAGGCGGAAAGGGAAGCTGAACGATCCCCCGCAGAAGTAGAATGCCTTATTCGGCTGTACCGCCCCCGGATCCATCGAGGCTCGGACCGAGGGCATTTTAGTAGATTGCGTCCATCTGAAATTCTCATATCGAACTCCATCGGAAGGTCCGTTCCCGCTCGCCATCGACGAAGCGAGCCGCGGTCGTTGTCTGACTTTCGAGATACCATCTCAAGTTTCTCATTTCAAAGCATTCTCTCGAACTCAATCAGTCGTTCGAGAAGGCCAGCAGAAAGGAACGGACGATCATCAGGGAAATCATGGCCTCGTTTCCACGGCGGTGCCATTTTATTTCTGGGCTGACCCCAGAGGAACTGAGTGGTTCCGCGATATCTCCGGAGCTCATTTGGTTCCGATTGCCACATGATGCGAAAAGACTCTTGAAATTCCCACGTCATCATTTCACTAAGAAAATGCCCTCTTCTCGCGAGATCCTCCGCGACTATCTGAGACAGGAAAGTGAGAGTCCTTCCGACGATCCCTGTTTTTCTCCACCGAGGATGTCTTTTCCGTTGGAGGAGGTTTTCTGCGGAGATTAAAACTACGGAGATTACTTACTTCATCGAGCGCGATGTTGTCAGGATTCCATGAGATGACAGGAATCCCGAGGTAGCCCAAGAGCTGATGAACGTATTCGACTGAAGCAGCGTTCGAACCGAACGTTTCGGAATTGGTGAAGTATCCTACCGTCAACACCGAAGCGTTCAGGATTTCCTTACAAAGTGTATCGAGAATCTCTCTCGGCGTTGGTGTCAAGCTGAGATACACTTGTTGGAACTGCGAACACGAAAAACAGGTGAGTGAGGGAGAAAAATGTGCGTCCGATCCCGACGAGCGCAACAAAAATCTCCTCAAATAGAGTGCTCCGGGGCACTCTAAAACTTCAATCGTAACTTTCCGAGTGCGGCTTAAATACAGGTTTCTTCTCGATTCGTTCGGATGTGAACTCAGAAGGGGAGAGAAACATTCTGGATCCGTGTCCGTCGCTTCCGAACAAGGATAGCCTGGACGAATCTGCTCTCGAGCTCAAGTGACTGTTGATTTGATAAGATGGAACTCTAGCGGCGTGGCGCTTCAATAGAAGTCGATGACGACCCTTCCAGCGTGCTTAAATGCGTACGCTCCCCTGGTTCCATCAAGCCGGCGTCTCAATCTGGCGAGAAGGCAACGGAGAGGAAATTCGAGGCAAAAGTTCCGATCCGGAAGAGAAGGAATAGGCCGCTCGTAAAACGGAATCACATCTAATGATGTTTCGACGAATCTACAGCTCAAATGATCGTTCGCAAGGCTGAGTCGATGAGCTCGGACGCCGCCGCTGCTGCTGCGGCTGTTGGCTCCGCAGGGCTCAAAGCGGGCAGGAAACACGCCTTTTTCTGCATCAGGAATCTGCGTACAAAATCACGTCTTCGGAATCAGTGGAGCGGAGAGTGAGAGAAGTTCGCTCAGGAGTCAATCGGCAATATTTTCCCGATCAGCTCGCCGCACCAAGCCGAGTCGCAGGAAGCCATTGTCGGGGGCGAAATGAACTTGTTTTTAGTCATCCCTGATGTTCCATTATTACTAAAGACCTTCACGGACACAGCGAATGAAATTCCTCCGATAGAATCGCATTGCTGTCCGCCGCCCCTCCCTACGCCTCACTCGATCGGTCGGTGCATCGATGGAACGGAGTCGCTGCAATTTGGGGGGCAATGAGCCGGCAGCACGGACTTCGAGCATCTCGACCGAGCCCAGGAAGGACCCGAGCCGTGCCTCCGCCAGGCATGTGACATACGGGGAATTCATTGTATGACGCTTGTTCCCGTCCACTCCTTCATTACTTATTATTACATTCCAGGAATGCGAGAGCGCTCTAGATTGAGTTTGATCGTTGCAAGTCGCAACTGGCACTTACTTGCAGGGCGTAGTGCTTGTTGAGATGGTTCCCAGGAACCTTGCCGTGTTTTATCGAGCTGAGCGCTTCGTTAATCGTGCTACGGTATTTACGTCGGACGCTTTCGAACCTTGTGCTTGGCACAATCATAACATATGTTACATTGGGCCTGTTGGGATTGAGTTCCCTCGATACATCATTACCATAAGACGGCTTCGATAAAACACCTCCTTGACGTCCGCCGCGTCCGGGCAGCTCTATGGCGGATGTCCGACCGAAGGTCACGGCCGCCCAGAGCAAACACCAGAGCGGGCTCATGATTTTACGGGTCCAATTTATTTCTGTCTATAATTCGTCGTCCCGGAGTGAACTCCCGGAATAGCCGACTGAAATAAGTTTTCCATCATCTCATCGATCGACCGACGACCGACCGACCGACGAAACGATCGAAGAACTCACGGGTCGGCACGGGGCGGACCACTGAATGATTATTGCTCGACGAAAGCTACCGAAGCACGCAGCTAAATGAAGGGTCGTCGTGAGAATGAAACGACGACGGAGCTGAGGGGAAGGCCCTGAATGTGGAGTTGCTCCGACTGTGAACAGCGTTGACGTTAACAAGTTGAGCAGACGTCATTCAACAAAGACCACTTTTGCCTAGGGAAGTTCTGCGGTCCCGAGAGCATGCCTGCACGTCCTCCGCCGATGGGGGTCCTGTTGTCCGCGACTCGGCATACCTGAAATGGGAATAATGACTCGTGAACACGAGGTGAATTGTAGCCCTGGGCACGCGAACGACTAGGCTTGACCTTGACCTCGGTCCGAAAACCGACTTCTGACTCGATCTTCGGACGGAAAAGCTCCTCAACCACGTCCAGAATGTCTAAGGGAGATCAATCGTCCGACAGTTCACGCTCGGGACATATGCAAGTGATATGAACCCCAATGGCTCGATTGAAGATCGTCAAGTTCCAACGAGTTATCGGTTGATTTGTATCCGCTGTCGCAAATATCCCGACTCTAATTGGGGATCGGAAATTCAGCGGTACAGAGACAGACTGCCCGGATGTTGCTGTCGGATGTTTCGCTGTGCGCTTCAGAAGGAAACAATGAAGACCCTTGTCGCTCTCCGTTCGTAGTAGCTATCAGTCCTATCCGAGCGAGCAGCCTCCCGATCGAGGAGACTCCCAGGTGGCAATCCAAACCTGCGCGTGAAATATCGATCGCTTCCACCATTCGGCTATCCGGGAGTATGGGTGCTCTCCCAGGATCTTTTGGTTCTAAGACTTCATTGTGTCTCTCTTCGGAACGGACACAAGGAATAGCAAGCACACTGAAGTAATGAAGGGGAATGTTGTCATCTAATATTCTAACAGAAGCATTAGCACCGCTCAATCCGGGGATCGGCAATCATCAAGAGATCGAAGATTCAGAGTAACGTCGAATTCCTCCTATGCGCGAAAGAAGCTCAACCCGGCCGAAAACACAACGGTAGACGAAGCATGGTAGTGATATTCTCAGCGCAGCGCTGGCGGGAATCCTTAGCAGAGCTATGTCGCAAATCCTCTGACCCTGAATTATTCAGTATGCTCCGTCCATGAGAAGGCATTGTTCCTGATTTAGTTCGATGAGAAACCCAGGAATCGTGCCTGAATGAAAGTTCGCTTAGCTGCCACCTCGGCGGGAAACTCCCCCAACTTGTGAGCTGTCGATTGATCTTAGCTGTCAGATTCCTCGACGACGCGCGTCGACGATGCGAAAGAATCTCGGGACTCCGAGGAGATACCTCTTACCGACCTCCCTCGACGTGCGTGAACGAAACGCCTCCGTCGACGTCAGCTTATCGTCAAGACATTGCTCGTTAGTGAACCCATCACTCCCTCAATGTACAGAGGACCTTCAAGCAATTTGCAAATGGTTTCTCCGCGTTCATAGTCCGCAAGTGGGGGAGAGATTTTCGGATTTTCCCGGATTTCGGAAGCAGAAATCCTGAACGATGCGCTGTCCATCGCGTCTCCGGTCGATATCCTTCTCGATGCGGTCGACGATGGATGAAGAGCACATCGGAGGTCGTTATCCAGCAAACTTATGACCGAAGCTCTCCAAATAACTATGCCTGGACACTATTAGCGGCACTTCTCCTCAGCGTCGACTCTCACCCGCTGCCCAATTGGTTATTTGACCCTCAAGGGTCGGGTGACATGCTCAGACTGCTCAGCTTGCTGCTCTGACTCGTCGGCTAGGATCGCTGGATTGCAGGATCGTTGGACGGACGGCTGGAACGGAGGATGTACGGTCAGCGAGCAGAGTGTCGTTCCCGAGGAGGAGGAGGAGGAGGCTTTTCATAGCCGCCAGAGCAGGCGCGATGAACCAACTTATTAACCGCCAAGGATATCTTCTTCTATTGCTGCCGATGCGGCGAGAGCCGGGAGCTCGTCTATCTATATATGAGTCCAGCTCCAAAACACGCTATCAAGCGGATATAAGCGTTGTCTTCTATTGCCTGGCTGAAATGCGAGCTCATTCTTGCTCAGGATATGAGGATTTGAGCCCGATCCTCCACGTCGTCCAATCGTGTGATACCGTATCCGGAGTGAGGAAGCGTGGATTTCCGTCCTCTGACCCGAGATCGCGCTCACCACGCCCCTCCCATAGTGGGTCCGTGTATTCTGAATCAAGAGAATGTCCTCGACGTTCGAGCACCTGCGTTCAAAAGCGCTGAATCGGCTAAATTTCCCGTCGAGCCGTAACACCCCGAGGGGACTTAGCGCGTCCTTCCGTGGAGCTGAAGCTCGATTAGACCGCTTAAGTGTTTCGCAAGATGCATGAGGTCTAGCTGCCCAGGCTTCCCTGTAAAGAACAAGCACCACTTCTTCCTTCCGTCCTCTGTATTCTGTCTCGGGCGAACGGAGTCGCTTTGATGTAAGAGGAGCTGCTCAGCTTCTCCCTGTCCCCTTCGATTGAAGCCTTACTCTCTATCCGATTGCGAACGACCGGCTTCTGGTTCCTATTCACGAGGGGCACAGCCGTACGATTCGCTTATCCGCGCCGGCTGTCTTCCGAATCACGGAGCTCTTCTCGAACTATCGATGGAATCTTCGACTTGTTCCAAGTCGGCGGGAATACTCATGAAATCGACGAGCGACGGGAGACGGCAGGGCAGTGCAAGTCGGAGAACGGGAACGCTATACACTCTCTGGACGGAGATTGATTGGGTGCGGGGTGGCTTGTCACAGGCGCTCGGAGTAATCAACGGACCTTTCATCGCAGAACTCGGTGGCAAACGAATGTTGCAAGCCAACCCCGAGTCGACCGTGCCCTGAATGCTCCCGAATCAAAATTACTATGCCGAATCGGGCTCGTGTTGCATACGCGCTCGGTCATGTTTTGGATAATGACGCATTCGAACAGTCGGGTGAACGCGTCACGGAGAACGCGGCAGTCTCGATGCATCTAGCGTACTATTCCAGAGCACCGACCTCAGCCCCAGTATTCCGGGAATGTAGGTCTGATCCGTTCGTCAAATGGAGTGAGAAATTTCCGTGTCCACGCTTCGAGAAATCCACTCGAGCGAACGCCCAACGGAATCAGGGAACAGCACGTCACGCCGCGCCGTTAGGATACTGTCCAGGGGAAACTCTGCGTTCGGAGGGCGGGAAGACATCCGTCCTCGAAGTCGCGGAGCTATGCGGAGAGAATTCTGAGCGAACCTGGCACTTCACGTCGATGATTCTCTGCGCACGCGAAGAGAATCGGGTCAGCGACGTCCGAGATGAGATATAGGCTCGGGGAAAGAGGAAGAATGGCTTTACGGATTTCCGAATCGGAATCAGGGTAATGGATTCCGAAAAAACGGACTGTGAAATTGGAACGACTATATCTGGGAGCATTGCACTGAAAAGAGAATAATGAGAAGCACCAGGTGCGCAGAATATGCTCCGCTGTCGGACTCACGCACCAGCTCCGACACGACGACCGGGTCAGCGGATAGGGCTGGGGAGTTCCGTTGTTCGGAGGAGCGCTTCCTGCTACTGGCCTTTTCCTTCCGACTTCCGCATAATTATTCTTGATGTTTCGTCGGGGGAGGTCCTCGAAACGCCCAGATATTTATGCAATGCCGACGGAGACACTTCGGAGGCTGCGTCGTCATCGTAACACTGACAAATGCTTGTTCGCCGTCAGCTGAAACCCCGACACCGTCGAATGGCCGCGAATTGAAAGCTTCGGAACTTGACCGCCCGGGGCGCGTCCCATCCCGAGAGGGGCGTTTGAGTCAGGTGTCCCTTAACGTTTTTTCGGAGATTCTCTCGAGCCGAAGGAGATTGACGGCTCGGATCTCTCTCGCTCGGTGGCCACATCAATCTAGCAGGCGGAGCTTCAAACCGTAGAGAGCTCAAACCCGACTCGATTGAAGTATCCTTATATCGCGTCGAGATTGAGTCTCGATTCGGCAAGAAGACAAGAATCGCACCTCGACATGAGCGTTGTGAGGCCCGGAGTCGAGACTCGTAGCGAGAAATCATGCCCACGAGCTCGCAGATCGTCCTCAGCAGAATTTCGCTCCGTCGGGGATCAGTGGGGATCCGGATGTGCGGGACAAAGACAAAACACAAAACCTCCCACCGGAAAGGAACGAGCGCTCAAGGAAACAGCGATCGGAAGGCGAATAGCCTGGGCGGGTCACTCGCGGGATGGATGCGGGCCGGCGAGCGAGGAGACATCGTGACATCCCAGTCGACGGACGTCTCTGCCGATCGGCACCACTCGGGATCTGATCTTCGAGCGCACAGAAAATGAAAGCGGATCTCCCTCACGCCTCATTGGCGATCGGGATAACGTTGAGTGAGTTTCCTTCAGAAAAGCGGCGCGGTATCGAGGCCCTGTCCCCGGAGCGACTGTGCTGTAGAGCATCAGTTGACTGCACGCGTAGACTGAGACTACGCGATAAGGGCAACGGAAACGGATATTTCGGGATGGGCGAGGGAAGACGACGACGAGGATAAAGGGAGCAAGTTGGCTCGGGGAAAAATTTCCGAAAGTGTGGCTTTGACGCGAAACTTATGTCCGCATGGTGGTATGCCAGTGTCGAGAGCGAGATTTTCGGAGCGATAAACAATGTCGTGCCGTTGAGATTCTACGATGGCGCACGAGGTCGACGGCTCGTGGACGAGTGAAGGAACGGTCTCGGAAGACTGGAGCCCCTGCCGTCTCCGAAAGAAGCTGGCCAGACAAACCGACGACCACTAAGGAGCGCGATGTAATTTTCAGGAGGTCCAAAGGCGCGAAACGAGGAGGTCTTTTGAGCAAAATTAATCCAA